CCCTCTGGAGAACCAAAACCGGACAGTTCACGAATCGACGCGTCAGGGCAGGACGCCTGTCCCCCCCCGAGAGCTCAGGGAAGCATATCCATTCTTTCACGACGTCGAACACTGTGTGTATGGGGTTAGAGTACAAAGGTACAGAACCCCCTGATCCGTAGGTAGAGGAAGGAGGGAAAGATAGGGATCTTTTCCTCCTGTGCGACCAGCGTCCTGGTCTCTTCCAGTACCTGAGCCGACAAGGCAGGCAAAAAAGGGCGAGTGAGGAGTAGAGAGGCCTGTGACCCCGCCCCCCCGGGCCGACCTCTGACCCCTTAGGGCGCCCTCGTGGCGCTCCCGCCCCCCCCCCCCCGTGCGGGCCGCCGGGGGCCGAGAGAGAGGCCCAAGCGACCCGCCGGCCGCGGCCGCCTTTTCCCAGCGAGTGGTCGGCGGTTCCAAGGTGGGTCCTTTTTTTTTTTTTTTTTTTTTTTTTTTTTTTTTTTTTTTTTTATATATTTTATTATATATATATATATATAAATATATATATAATTATATATATATAAAAATAAATATAACATCCACGGCCGAAGACCCACACATAATGGGCAAACATAAGGAGGAGAGCTGCACGACCACGGGGCCACCAACTCCTACGAGGAGGCCACCCGTGGGCCGAGCGGCGCGCCCCTCAACATCAGTCCGGCCCCGAGCTCTCGTCTTCGCGAGGGCTCGGGATGGGGTCCTGAGGGATGGGGTTCTAAGATAGCAGGGGGTCCAAGGGCAGATTTACGTTGCTTGAGGCTCCTCGTCCCTAGGGTTAAGTCGGGCCTGTCCCCCTACAGAGAGATTTTCCACGAAAAATAAAAAATACCCCAAAAATAATCCAAAAATAGTCTGGGGACTATTTTTTGAATATTTGTTTGACTTTTTTGGGGTATTTTTGGTGTCTCTCTTTTACTTTTCGTCGAAAATCCCCCTGTAGGGGGGACAGGCGCGACTTAACCTTAGGGCCCCATCCCTCAGGACCCCGAGGAGGGGGCCCGGGGCCCCCACCGTCGGTGCCGACTCACGAGAGCCATCCCGCTCTTGCCTCGGGGGCCGCGGCAGGGAAGGACAGCAGCACGGGGCAGGGCAGATTACCAGCCTCGAACTTTTCCCTATCCCTAGGATTGACACGCCAAAGAGCGGTGACAATCTTAGGGATGCGCCCTCAAAAGAGAAGGGGATCCCCAAGACTGGCATCGTGATGAGGAGATGCCCGGCATAGGGATAGGGATCTGTTCCAGGCTGGTAAGTAGAGCATGCCATCGCGTACAGCTGGTCTTCCTGGCGCCTCCTGGCGCTGGGCAGCGCCCACGTATCGAGGAAGGGGCCCGGCGGTCCAAGTCGAGACCAGCTGAAGGCAGCAGATTTCGTCCTCACCTTCTGTGGCAGCTCTCGGCGGCGAGCGAGGGGGGGAAGTGAGAAGGAGAAGGCTCTCTCAGGAGGCGGCGGGACTTCTCAGAAGCCCTCCCGCCTTCTGAGGGGTCTTGCTGCGTCTTCGGGGAAGGCCTGGAAGACTTCTCAGAAGGCCGGGGGACTTCCGAACCTTCTGAGAAGACCTTCTCCTTCTCACTTCCCCCCCTCGCTCGCCGACTAAACTCATGGGAGCCTCCAGCTGTGTCGTGCTGACTCCTGGGAGTCCTCGGCTCACGGGAGCCTCCGACTCACGGGCCCCAGCCGTCGGTGGCAGGCAACAGACCGCCCGCCGTGACCTCCTTTCACAGCGAGAAGGGGGTGGGGCCTCGGTGGCAACTCACGGGATCTTCCCATATCATCTTGCTGGCACTTGAGAGTCGACGCTCGCGAATCGACGCTTGCCGACGCCGATCGATGCCAATCGACGCCAAACCGACGCTCAGCCACCTTAAATCGGCACTTTGCATCGAGTGCCAGACGCTAATCGATGCGCATACGCTCTAAAGGCGACATTTCGAACGTATACAAGGCGGTAGTGGCCGCCGCGCGCGGCGGCGGCGCTCTCGGCCCCCGAGGGCACCGTGATGGCAGGCTCGCGCGGTGGCGACCTCGGCGCTGGCCTCTCGCGGGCACCGCGCTGGCCGCTCCATCGGGGAACAGGACATGGCATAAACCACGAACTGTCGGAGGTCTGGGCGCGGATTTCTCGCGTCGGGCTGGATCCTCCTTCCTGGCGCGCGGAGCGCGCCAGGGGGGCTCCAGCGCCGATCCGAGAAATCCGCACGGACCTCCGAAAACTCATGTGCATGCACTTCTCTGCTCCCCGATGCCACCCCGAACGACCGCGGTGCTCGGATAGCGCGGATCGATCGGTGACGGCCGCTTCTGGGCCGCCGCTGGCGCTCAGCCCAGAGCGCCCGCGCTGGGGTAGCCGCCGGGTCGGCCCGGCGCGAACCCGCGGCGCAGCCGCGGCGGCGCACCCGCGGCGCGGCGCAGCCGCAGCACACCCGCGGGACACCCGCGGCAAAGCCGCGGCGAAACCGGCGCACCTGGCACACGTGGCGCATCCTCAGGCAACATCGCTATATCCTTCTCCCTCCTTCCGCCTTTCTCCCGTGCCCTCCCCCCTCCCACCTCTTTCCTCCTCCTTCTCCTTCTCCTCCTTCTCCTCCCCTCCTCCTCCCCCTCCTCCTCCTCCCTCTTCCTCCTCCTTCCTCCTCCTCCTCCTCCTCCTCCTCCTCCTCCTCCTCCTCTCCTCCTCCCTCCACCTCCCCCTCCACCTGCCCCTCCACCTCCCCCTCCTCCTCCTCCTCCTCCTCCTCCTCCTCCTCCCCTCCTCCTCCTCCTCCTCACCTCCTTCTCCTCCTCCTCCTCCTCCTCCTCCTCCGCCTCCTCCTCCTCCTCCTCCTCCTCCTCCTCCTCCTACCGCCGCCGTAGAGGCCCGGCCAGGTCCCCGCTCCCTCCTTCCCCTCCTCCTCCTCCTCCTCCTCCACCTGCCAAACCACCTCCCCCTCCCTCTCCTGCCCCTGCCTCTCCCGCTTCCCTCCTCCTCCTCCTCCCCCTCCACCTGCCCCTCCCCTCCTCCTTCCCCCCTCCTCCTCCTCCTCCTCTTCCTTCCTTCCTCCTCCTCCTCCCCTCCTCATGCTCCTGCTCCTCCTGCCCTCCACCTCCCCCTCACTCTCCTCCTCCCCCTCCACCTGCTCCTCCTCCTCCTCCTCCTCCTCCTCCTCCTCCTCCTCCTCCTCTCCTCCTCCTCCTCCTCTCCCCCTCCTCCCTCTCCTCCTCCTCCTCCTCCTCCTCCTCCTCCTCTTCCTCCTCCTCCTCCTCCTGCTCCTTCTGCTCCGTCTCCTCCTCCTCCTCCTCCTCCTCCTCCTCCTCCTCCGTACGCCGTGCTGTCGAGACCCTTCTGTTTTCGTGACCCATCGGCGGGCTGGCCAGGGGTGGGGGCTTGCCCTTGCTCGCGGCCAGGTGCTGCTCGAAGGATGCCGTGGCGGCCCTTCGCACGGTCCCATGCGGTGGGTTGGGGGTCCACCCCCACGGCCCTGCCTGCGGGGGCCTAACGGCCCTCGTAATTCGTCGGGGGGGGCCTCGGAGGCCCGTCCATCGCTCGCCGTGGCACGGGACTCGGCCTCGACGGGGCCAGATGGGCAGCACCCCCAGCCCCCAGGAAATCTTCTCGAGTTCTGCATCGGCACGAATCTGATTCATGCTGCACGGTGCGTGAGACTATCGACCTCGCCGACCCTCGTCGACGATCGTTCGAGGTTTGAATGGCTATCCAGCTGTAGCGAGCGCAAGCAGGCACAGCATGAGTCCACACGCAAGGCCGAGCTGTCTACTTCATCTTATTAGAAGTCTGATTCCTCCTCCTCCGATGTGCGCAGTGTCCCTTTTCCGATTGCGCATAACACGATGGGGTTATTGTTGAGGTTCCAGGTCGGCTATGACACGCGTTCGCAGATAGAGAACAATATCAGCGCAATGGGAAGGCATGGGTGGGAGTCGTAGAATGTCACCTATGGCGCGAGCGCGCCTAGCTTGCCCTGCCAGAGGCCGATTTCAGAACCTCGAACCGGCCACCTTTTCCTGCTGGCCGGAACCAGTGCTGGGCCACCTCAGACCCCCGGCAGGTTCCATTTCCCTCTGCTCCTTCCGCCTCATGTGGCATCCTCCCTTCCTCCCTTTGCATGCTACTTCTCCTTCCCCTTCTCCCCCCCTCCTCCCGCTGCCTCCTCCCTCCTACTTCTCTCTCCTCCCTTCTCCCTCCTCCCTCCTCCCTCCCTCCTCCCTCTTCCCTCCTCTCTCCTGTAACCTCCCCCTCCCCCCCCCCCCGCCCCTTCTCGTCTCCCTCCCTCCCGTTGCTCCTTCCGCCCCACATGGCCTCCACCCTCCCTCCCTGCGCACGCTCCCGCCGCTCGTGCCGCCGCTGCTCGCCACCCTTTTTCTGCCAGAACAACTTCGGGCGTCCGGGCTGCCCGGCGAGGTCTCTTCACTCCTGCCTGAAACCAGCCTCGACCTTGTCCCTATCCCCAGACCTTCGGGGAACAAGCCACGGCAAACGCAGAAAAGCTCGAAGGTCCGCGCGGATTCCTCGGATCGGCGTGGTGGCCCCTTGGCGGCGCCTCCGGCGCCGCACCTCGCCGATCCGAAGAGTCCACGCGGACCTTCGAGTTCTCATGCTTATGCCACTGCTTGCCCCCCCTAACATTGACAAGACCGGAGGTGCTGCGCGCTCAGGCACCGAAGGGATCCTGAAGTTCGGCACCGGGATCGGGCGAGTCATCTACTCCGACCTCATCCAGGAGGCCTACGAAGTGAATGCGCAGGCCTTACGGCCGATGCCGCCGACCCTGAAGGCGGCGACGACGAAGACAATGGAGGCAGAGGAGTCCAAGATGCATTCAGATGGCTCGAAGACGGCGCCAGATGCCTGCAAGGTCCCCATCCAGGAGGCCTACGAAGGGATTCCAGATCATAGGGATAGGGCCGTGCTCCAGGCTGATAAACTGCGGACGGCCCGCGCGCGCGGAGGGCCGCCGCCGCCCCGGGAGGAGCGCGGTCTAGAGCAGCTGCACGCCCAGGCTGTTCAGCCGGGGCAACATCTCCTCGTCGACGGAGTGGGCCTGCGCTCGGAGTGGATGGGAGGGGGAGGAGGAGGAGGAGGAGGAGGAGGAGGAGGAGGAGGAGGAGGAGAGGAGGAGGAGGAGGAGGAGGAGAGGAGGGAGGAGGAGAATGAGGAGGAGGAGGAGGAGGAGGAGGATGGTCGATGACCCGGGAGGAGGAGGGGGAGGGGAGGAGAATGAAGAGGAGGAGGAGGAGGAGGAGGAGGAGGGGAGGAGGAGGAGGAGGAGAGGAGAGGATGGTCGAGACCCGGGAGGAGGAGGGGGAGGAGGAGAATGAGGAGGAGGAGGAGGAGGAGGAGGAGGAGGAGGAGGGAGGAGGAGGAGGAGGAGGAGGAAGGGGAGGAGGAGGAGGAGGAGGAGGAGGAGGAGGAGGAGGAGGAGGAGGAGGAGGAGGAGGAGGAGGAGGAGGAGGAGGAGAAGGGGCAGGATGAGGAGCAGGAGCAGGAGGAGGAGAAGGACTCCTCGATCCTCGATCTCCTTTCTCTCTTCGCCCCGCGCCCCCCGATACCCGGTGGCCGAAGATGCGGCGGAAAGGACGGCCGAAGATGACCAAAGTTGGCCGAATATGGCCTCAAGACGGTCCACGTTGCCTCCAAGAGCGCCCAAAAGGGGCCAAAAGAAAAAACATCAACAACATCCGAAGAGCACCAAACCACGGATTTCCTGTGGTGGGCGATCCGTCAGGAGCCAGTTTCCACTGTCGTGAGGGCAATTCGGGCCCCTCACCGGATGCCTCGGAGAGAGCCGAGGACACGGGGACGGAGGGGCAGGGGGAGAGAGAGGAAGAGCGCGAGGAGCGGAATGATGATGGGGGCGGGGAACGAGAAGGGAAAACGGGAAGATGGGGATCACAATAACGAGGAGGATCGGCAATTGCAGAAAGACGTTTGAGAGCAAGAGAGAGAGAGAGAGAGAGAGGAAGCGGTTCGAGGGAGTAAGCCAGCGCGAGGACGGGGGAGAAGCGAGAGAGAGAGAGAGAGAGGACAGAGGACAGACTCATGGTGCGGCAGAGGAGAGAGATCCACCCTCCCTCGGGGGGGGCGCACGGCTGCGACACGTTCTGCTGGACGGCTCTGCCGCGTTTTTCGTACGTGCGACTTGTGTTGTGTGCCTTGTTTGCCACTCGACTGCCTACCCTTGGGGAAGCCCACGGCACCCAGCAACAACCAAGCACAACAACTGCAGGGGTGGGATGCTCAGGCTCTCCTCGCCGCCCCAGGCTGCCCCCAGGACTCCGACGTGGACGCCATCGGCCAGCCAAGGGGAGCCAGAGAGGCCCCGAAGACGGCACCCACGTGCTCCGAAGGGGCCCCCAAGAGTGGAGGAAGACACAGCTGCGTAAACGTAAACGTTCGGAGACCCGAGGCGAGAATACGCACGAGTGATCAGGGAAATAAGCTCGACTCGGTCGCCGTTCGTAATGCCAGTGCTTTGTGAATGGGGATCGCGATCGACCGACAGCTGAACGAGGAGGGGGAGGAAGAACGGTTGAAGGCCACTACCATCTGCGCGGAAGCCGTCTGGCAACACATCAATATGCCTCCTCCCCAGCTTCGAGCTCGTCGTCCGCCGGGGTCGTAATCATCAGGCTCGCGCTCACTGCCCCAACGTCGCGTTCAAGACCTTGCTGCGGTTTTCGGGAAAGTGGCGTTTGAGAATGTGGTGCACCAGCACTTCTCGTGGGCCCCTGCATGTCCCTCGGTGACCTCCCCCAAGGAAAGGACCAACCCGTGGGCCCTGCAGTTCAAGAAAGATGGTTGTTGTTTTCCTGGACAGGATTGAAGAGGGCTCTGATTTCCTCATCAAGGCGGGGTGCGCGACTTCTTGAGAGTGTTCCTGACGCCCGACCTCTGTGCGAAGTTCCTGAAGTTCAATCTGACGCGCCTTCCGAAGCCCTCGCTTCAGGCCCCGAAGGTGATCCCCATTCAGGCAGTATGAGGACCCGGGGTGCCTCGAGGGCGGGCATCACTGTATCTTTCTCAGTGGAGCAGGCCCGGAGTGTGGTCGCAGGTTTCGCACGGCACATGCACTACGCGCACATCAGACACATAGTAGAGGAAGGGAGCACGGGCAGCATAACATGTGCACTAAGTACACGATGGCCAATCAGTGCCCGTCATGCTTTTTCACGTTCGCATATATCGTATGGCATCCATCAGTCACGTCACAACCGCATGCAGAAACTTGAGGTGTATCGCTCACCAATCCACCGTCGACTACCCCGTCGTTCTGCCGCAGCGATGCGTTTGCCCAGGCGGCGAGCGTGCTACAGAGTCCGCGGACCTCCCGACCCTTCAGTAGCATCTGGCGGCAGTGCATCTCCCATGGCCTCAGCCGCATGTCGTCGTGGCTGCAGGCGCTGCCAGCGGAGCTGCAGGACGTGTATGAGCCCTCGCGCAAGAAGGCCGCCACAGGTGGCCGTGACGCAGCGTCGTCGACGGCAGGCAGGGGGCAAAGGAAAGAGAGTGACTCGAGGAAGACGGACCCCGAGATCGTGGACACGTCCGAGCTCGACGGCGACCTGATCGTCATCCAGACAATGAAGAAGCACTTCCTCGTGATGATGAAGCCCGTTCTCAGATTCGCACTATGACAGAAACACCGGGAGGCCATCGAGATGAAGACTTTCACCGTGCCAGCGGGAGCGCAGGCGGCAGCCGGGCGCGGGCCCGCACCAAGGCGTGGATCAGAGCAGCAGAGGGGCTCCGCGCGTCGCTTCCCAAGGCCGAAACGGAAGAAACAAATCACGGACATGGGCACGATCTCGGTGGCGTGCTACGCAGGCGTGTACGGGGGATTGGTGGCAGAAGGAACGGCAGCCGGCAGAACCAAGCAGCAGCAGTTTGAGGAGTTAGGCACGCAGCAGGGCACTCTCGCAGCGAACGAAATGAAAGAGGTTTTCCCGACGGCGAAGTTGACCGACTGTCACCAGGAGGTCAAGGTGCAGCGAGGGTTGGCCTCCGGCAGCCACATCAACATGGCACCAATACTGGCGTCGCTGATCCAGATCGGGGCTAGCTACAAGCAGGGAGTGGCCCCCATGGGCCATATAGGGAGAGGCTGATCCACGTACAGGGCTGCAGGATCTTGCGGGCATGCTGGCAGAGTGAGAGACACACCAGATGAACAGAAACGGAGCTATGAGCAGTTAATGTTATGTCGGGCGTGTCCCCCTACAGGGGGATTTTCGACGAAAACTAAGAGATACCGCAACATCCCCCAAACAGATCAAACAATACACCAAAAATCGTCCCAAGACTATGTTTGGACAATTTTTGGGCTATTTCTAATTTTTCGTCGAAAATCCACCTATAGGGGGACGGGCCCGACGTAAAGTTAATGGGAAGCGTCTGAGCCAAGCCGCCTGCAATCCTGTCCGCGCATCCCCCATTCTCTTTCCTCTCTCGGGCCTTCGTCCTCCGAGCCGTCCGCTCGCCTGCTCTCAAACCCCCAAAGCAGCGCCAACCACACCGCTCAATCGGTTTTACCCGCTCCCCTCGCGCCTAATCGGAGGTCCTCCCCTCTGCCCCCCAGTCTATCAGAGCTGACGCTCACGTCTGATCTTTTTGTGAGGGGCCAGGCGGTGGAGGATAGCCCAGAGTCCGCCGTCCTGCGAGCAAAGAGCTTGCGGATCGGAAGCGCGCGAAGATTTCAGCTGCTCCGAGCGTCCCAGGGAAGCCCCTCAGGCAGGAGGAGCCCACCATACCAGTCGTGATCGGGAGCGGCCGTGAGAGGTGGCAGGTGGAGCCTCACGGCCCTCACGAGGGACTTCTGCACAGTGGACCGTCGCTGACATGTGTGCAGCTCCTCGAGCTCGCCGAGCTGCTGGGCGCCGCAGACTAGCCGCGCGGCGCGCGGCGCCGGGCTGCGCAAAGCCGCAGCCCGGCTGAGCACTGCTGCTTTTGCTGCCGCCTTCTCCTCTTCTTCCCCTCCCTTGCTTTCCCCCTTTCCCCTTAAGTCGCCACGGGGCGCACCCCTCTCCGGCTGGTAAAAACGTGTGCTGCTCTGCGCTTTCTGGGCGCACTGCGGCACCGGCAGGGCTCCTCCTTGCTGCGAGCCGCGGCGGTGCAGGACCGCGCACGGCAGATTCGCGCTCGGGCGCAGTGCGGCCCTGGGGGGCCGCCGCTGGATGGGATTTCCCGCCTGCTCCAGTGGTTTCTGATCTTGTGGCTAGGATATTCATCACCACCGCCATCATCACCATCATCATCATCATCATCATCATCATCATCATCATCATCATCATCATCATCATCATCATCAGCATCATCATCATGTTCACCACCCCAATCCTCACTACACGCATCATCATCACCACCACCTTCATCTTCATCATCCTTATCACCATCATCAACATCACAACCACAATCCTCCTCCCATGTGTCCTTCCTGCTCCAATCTCCTTCTCCTCTTCCTCCTCCTCCTCCTCCTCCTCCTCCTCCTCCTCCTCACATGTCTCCCCCAAATCCCTACACAACCCCTTGTACACCATGGCTGCCTCTACCGCTCAACTATGGATGCCGAGCGAGCAAGAAGGCTCAGGACGCCGGGAGCGCTTCGCAGCGTCGACCCCCAGAAGTCTGGACCTCTTCCCCGGGACCGGTTTTTCGTCCCGGGCATGTTTGGCTGGCCTGCGGCCTGGCGAGGGCCCCCAAAAGCCGAACATGACCAAGAGCCGTAGTTCTTTGTTTCACAGAGAGAGGTGGAGGCCAGGCTCGCTCAGCCGTCGGCCCTGAGACCACTTCTTTTCCCACCACCACCACCATGTCAACCCACCACCACCACCACCAACCCACTACATAACCACACCCACCACCGCCACCACAGCCACCACCACCACTACAACCACCACCACCACCACAACTCACCACCACCGCCACAAAAACCCACCACCACTACCACCACCGCCACATATCCACCACACCACCACCACCACCGCCACAACCACCACCACTACCAGCAGCACAACCCATCACCACAAACCACAACACCACCACCACCAGCACCGCCTACACCACCACGAAAACAAGCACCACCTCCACAAACCACCGCCACCACTACAACCCACCACCACCACCACCACCACCACAAACCACCACCACTACCACCGCCACCACAACCACAACCCACCACAACCACCACCACCACAAACCACCACCAAACCACCACCACCGCCACCACCACCACCACCACCACCACCACCACCACCCACCACCACAACCACCACCACCGCAACAAACCGCCATACCACCACCATCACAACCACCACCACCGCCACCACCACCACCACAAACCACCACCACCACCACAAACCACCACACCACCACCACAACAAGAACCAACACCACCACCACCAACCACAACCACAACCACCACCACCGCAACAAACCACCACCACAACCACCACCACCGCAACCACCACCACCACCACAACCGACCACCACCACCACTGTCACTACCACCACCACCACGACCACCATGACAAACCACCACACCACCACCGCCAACGCCACCACCACCTTAACCCATCACCGCCACAACTACCACCACCACCACACCCACAAACCACTGCCCCCACCACAAACCACCGCCACCATCACCACCACCACAACCTGTCACCACAACCACCGCAACAACCACCACCACCACCGACATCAACAACACCACCACCACCACCACCGCCACAACAACCACTACCATCACCACCACAGCCCACCACACCCACCACCACCACCACCCCAGAGAAGCCCTAAGAGACGCCCACGACGCGCCCAGGATGATGCACAAATGCCCTCCAGAGGCCCCCGAGAGCCCTCCGACGAGACCCCAAGAGGCATCCATCAGGACTCTGACCCAAAACCAAGGCACGGTGGCGGAGCGTCGTCGTCATCGTCGTCGCCAACGACCTCGTCGACGCTCCCCTCCGCCGCCGCCCGCCGCCGCAGGCGCCGGCGCTGGCCCAGAAAAGGAAGTCGTCGTCTCCGCCGCCGCCGCCAGCCGCCGCCGACGCAGGCGCTGGCCCGAGGAGAGGGAGAGAGGAGAAGTGGGGGAGGAAGGGCAGCGAGCAGGAGAGGGAGAGAGGAGAAGTGGGGGAGAGAGGAGAAGTGGGGGAGGGGGGGGGGTCGGTTCTACCCCCCCCCCCTCCAGGCGACCACAGGACGCGCTCGTTCGACCATGGGGGCCCCTCCTGAACCCAAAGCTGTCCGAGGACAGAGAGCCGAGGACAGAGAGCCAGCACCAGCACCCTGAGGATAGTGGAGGGGCCCCTGGACACACAAAGACATATGCAAAAAAACAAGAACCCCCATATTTTCCCATATTTTCTGGGTTTTTCTCTTCCCCCCCACTCCCCATATTTTCCCACCTTCTCCTGGGAGCCGTCGACGAATTGTGTCTGCGTGCTCCTTCCCCTCCTGATCTCGGAAGGGCCAGCGGAGACAGCGGCGGCTCTCCCGGCCGGCCAAAGGCCGCTGCTCCATCTGCAGCTGGCGCGGTGTGATCTGGCTTGTGGCTGCCTGCCGTGCCAGAGGGCTCCTTGGCTGCCGGTGAGGCTGTGCCATCCTCTAACAGGGGATGCGTCGACCCCTATCCCAGGCTCCGTGAGGTTTTCGAGAGGATCAACAATTTGGGGCCCAACCCTGGGATATACGAGGGGGGGGCGTCCATCCTCGACAGTGCGTCCGAATAGCCCCCTCGGGATGTATCCCAAGATTCCTCCCCTTTTCTGAGCGACCAAACTTTTCTGGCGGAAGTCGGGGATTGGGGGAGAGAAATCGCCTGCGATCCTCGGCGAGAGAGCCCGGAAGCGAATCGAGAAGTTGGATCGGCGATCGAGCGGACGTCGGCAGCCGGCCCGAGCCGGGAGAAGTCGGATCGGCGGAAAGCGGCAGGCTGGTGGGCTTCCGTGAAGAAGAGGTCGGACTCCAGATCGGAACCCGAAGTCGAATCGAGTCGGCATCGGAAGCCATGGGTCGTTGTAGGGGGGGGCGGTCAACCAGGAGGGGGGGGAAGGGTGCACTTCTCGGGCCTTGCAGGCCCTCTCTTGGGCCCGACAGGGCCCCTTGATGGGGCCCTGAAGAGCCCTTCTGCTGCAGCCCTCGCTGCCCCGCCATGTGTCGCGCCAGCGCTCGGCGCTCAAGATGCGGCGAGCGTGTCGGCCTCCGGGGGCTACCGAGCCTGGTGCGTCACAGGCCGCGCCTTGGCCCGCCCGAGCGGCAGGAGGGGGGAGCAAATACAGTCGGGGCGTGGACCTAAGGAACCCTAAAACAAGGAACGAGGCCCCTTATGCCCCATAAGCAAAACTTCGACTTCAGATCGAAAACCTAAGGAACACCTGAGGCAAGCTGCGAAACACTGAAGGAACACGGAGCCCCTCCCCAACGAACAGGGTTCCTTCTTCAGGGCCCCGACTGTATGGGATGGGGGGGGCGGAGAGGAGGGGGAGGAGGAGGAAGGAGGAGGAGGAGGAGGGGGAGGAGGAGGAGGAGGAGGAGGAGGAGGAGGAGGAGGAGGAGGAGGGGGAGGGGGACAAGCTAGGTGCGCTCGCGTCATATCTGACGTCCTACCCCTCCCTCCCATCCCTTACCATGGCGCTGATTTTCTCTATCCGCGGACGCGTGTCGTAGCGGACCTGTGGCTCCGCGCGCGCGTGCGTAGTGGGTGGTGGTGCGCGTGCGTGCGTGCGTGCGTGCGTGTGTGCGTGGTTGTGGTGGTGGTGGTGGTGGTGGTGGTGGTGCTGGTGCTGGTGCTCGTGCTGGTGGTGGTGCTGGTGGTGATGGTGGTTGTGATGGTGGTGGTGGTGGTGGTGCTGGTGGTGGTGGTGGTGGTGGTGGTGGTGCGGCGCGGTGGTGGCGGGCGGATGGGCGCGCGAGAAAGAGGCCCGTGCTGGGGCGAGAACGCCATCCTGAACGACGGAGGCCAAACACCGATCCGAAAATGAGGCCCACGCTGCAGCGGGAGCACGATTCGGAACGATTCGGGAGCAGAAATGAAGCCGGCGCCTCAGCGAGAGCATCATTTTGCCCGAAAATGACGCCGGCGCCTCAGCGAGAGTCGTTTCCCGGGATTTCCCGGGGATCCTGTGTGTAAAAAAACAATACGCGGAGGGTGCGCGGCCATCACCCGGACGCCATCAGGGGAAGAGGGAGAGTACATTCATATTGAGTAATTGTGGGGGAGGAGGAGGAGGAGGAGGGAGGAGGAGGAGGAGGAGAGGAGGAGGAGGAGGAGGAGGAGGAGGAGGAGGAGGAGGAGGGGGGGGGGAGGAGGAGGAGGAGGAGGAGGAGGCAGGCAGGGAAGAGGGAGGAGGGAGGGACCCAGAGCTCCGACGCTCGAACAACAGCAGCACACGGCCGGTGCTTGGGCCGTGTTGGGCCGCTGGGGGCCCTCGCGGGGCTTCGGGGCCGGGGAAAAAAAAACGGCTCGGCACGATAACACTGCCCTCTAGGGAGCCCACAAAGGACGTACGCGCCCAGCTATGTACATGAACACGGCCCCTCGATCCGTGAGACCGGCCGCGTTATACGAATATTTGCGCAATGTGAACTCTCGAAACCAGCGTGGACTCATGTACATGTACGTCCTTTTCCGCTCCTGACCCTCGGGAGGCGGCCCAGACCTCAGGGGCCCACACATCGACAAAAATGTGAACAGCTGGAGGTCTGAGGAGGCAGGGGGCAAGGACGGAGGGGGCTGCAGGGGCGTCGGGGTGAGGTGGGGGGACGGGAGGCACGGCGGAGGAGGGGGGACGAGAGGGGACGTGTGCGCGGGTGCGCGAGAAAGAAAGAGAGGGAGAGAGAGAGAGAGAGAGGAAAACACCCCACGGCCGTACCCCATGTGCTGTATTTTCAAGGCGCCCGGGCGGCCGGGTTGACGAGGAGCACGGAAGCCTTCGCCGCCACCGTCGTCGTGACAACCTCTCCGCGGGGCCACATCCGCTTCCCAGTTTGGAGCTCCTCCTTTTGTCCTGCCCCCTCCAACTCCTCTCACCTCTTTCTCCTCCTGATCGTCCTCGTCCATTTCGTCGATCGTCTTTGTACTCGCTTTCTTCCTCCTCCTCCTCCCTTTCCTCCTCCTCCTCCTCCTCAGTATCCTCGACCTCCTCTTCGTGGTCGTCGTCGATGGTGTCGGCGGGAACGTCCGCGTCGTCGGCGTCGTCGGCATCATCATCATCATCATCATCATCATCATCATCATCATCATCATCAGCATCATCACCACCATCATCATCAGCACCAGCAGCGGCAGCAGTCTCCTCATCATCATCACCACCATCACCAGCAGCATCAACCTTAGCACCATCAACCACACGATCATCAACCACATCATATTCAATATCATCATCATCACCTGCATCTTCATCATTGGATCTAGCACCACCACGATGATCACCATTATCCGTATTAACATCACCGCCAAACAACATCCTTCGTACACTCCTCCTCATCATCACCACCAGCAACATCATCATCATCGTAACCACCATCGCCTCATCATTATCGTCATCCTCGTCACCTTCCTCAACAGCATCATCATCACCATCATCGCCATCGTCGCCGCCACCACAATCATCATCATGAGCAGCAGATGCAGCAACCACATCGCCATCGTCATCATCAGCATCAGCATCGTCGTCATCACCATCCTCATCATCAGCATTATCAGTGTTGGTATGATATTCGTCATCCTCATCACCATTATCATCACCATCATCATGGTAAACATCACCATCATCATCATCAACATCATCATCATCATCCTCAGTATCATCATCATCCTCAGTATAATCAACACCACCATCATCATAATCATAAGCAACATCACCATTATCATCACCATTGCCATCACCATCGCCATCATCACCATCACCATCACCATCACCATCACCATCACCATCACCATCACCATCACCATCGCCATCACCATCACTATCACCATCACCATCATCAGCATCAGCATCAGCATCAGCATCAGCGTAAGCATCAACATCATCATCATCACCACCACCACCACCATCATCATCATCATCATCATCATCATCATCATCATCATCATCATCATCATCATCATCATCATCATCATCATCATCATCATCATCATCATCATCATCATCATCATCATCATCATCATCATCATCATCATCATCATCATCATCATCATCATCATCATCATCATCATCATCATCATCATCATCCGCAGCACCATCATCCCTCCTACAATAAGCCATCAACAGCAGCAGCATCGTCATCATCTTCGTCCTCACTATCATCAGCACCACCACCGCCGCGCCGCCAGCGCTGGCGCCACTGGTGGCGCCGCTGGCGCCACCGCCAGACGTCTGGCTACCGCTGGAGGCAGTTCCGCCTCCGCCAGCGCCGCAGCCGAGGTGCTGGGTGTGGCTGGCTTGGGAGTTACAATACCCTCCCCCGCCCCTCGGGGGGCTCCTCCTCCTCCCTCTCCCCCCGCTACTCTTGATGCCTGGGAGGACTATTGGTTGCGCACCTTGCCTGGGGAGATGAGGGGCCGCAAATTTAGATAGATTCTTGGTAAATGGGCTTGCCGCAGGTGCTTGATTCGCTCCGACCCGCCCGAACCTGCTGCGGACTGCCTCTGACTTAATTCCGTGATCAGCGCACTGGTGCAGGAGACCCAGGGCCACAACATTCATGCCACAGGCACTCCTGCTGATGGAGTGACGCTGTTTTGCTGCATGGGCTGTGGTAGTGTCAGCGAAGGCGCGAGACTCAGGGCCCTTGGGCAGGCGTGCAATGGCGGGCCTTCCTCGGTCCACCGGAGGAGCAACATTAGCAGAATTCGTAAGAGGCATCCGTCCCAACCACCTGAGAGGGGATGTGCCGCTTGATGAGCAGGTGCCTTTTGCTGATTTAACCAGCGCAATGGACTGTGGTGGTTCCTTAGCTTCGACTGGTGGTGTGGAGGGTCAGCCTCTGGGCAGCCCTCCCCCTTTGGGGTCGTGTTCGCTGAAGGCTCTGCCTCGGCTCTGTTGGTCCTAGCCTCTGCGATGCGACGTGTCAAATCAAATCCTCCTCCTCCTGTTCCTCCTCCTCCTTGTTCCTCCCCTCCTCCTCCTTGTTCTCCCCCTCCTCCTCTCCCCCTCCTCCTCTCCCTCCTCCTATTCCTCCTCCTCCTCCCCCTCCTCCTCCACCTCCTCCTCCTCCTCCACCTCTCCTCCTCCTCCTCCTCTCCTCCTCCTCCTCCTCCTTCTCCTCCTCTTCCTCCTCCTCCTCCTGCTCCTCCTCCTTCTCCTGTCTGTTCCTCCTCCTCCTCCTCCACAAACCTTCGCGGAACAGAGCACGGGCACTCGGCCACCCCAGGAGCGGCAGAACCGACCCTGAGGCACATGGCACGGGCGCTCCGGCCTTCGAGGGGCAACACATTCCCAGAATCATACACGACCCAACATCAACATCATCATATGCACCAGCATCATAATATGTGGCAACACCACCATCATAATATGCACCAATACCAACATCATACTATACATCTGTATGGCGAGACACCAACATCATTATACGGGAATCCAGGACCAACTCTGCAGAAATAGTTTCGAACAGTCCTGAGCCAATGTGTTGGTCCACGCTCGAGGGACAAACGTACACACTAAACGTGGTCCACTTTCCAGCAAGCTGATTGGGAAACGCTGGCACCGTAGCAATCGGTGCTATTATCGTCATCGTCATCGTCGTAATCGTCGTCATCGCCATCGTCATCGCCAACGGCACCATCAACAACATTGCCATCGTCAACGTCATCGTCATCATCATCATCATTATCATCATTCCCATCAGCGTCAGCATCCTCATTGTCATTGTCAGCATCAGCATCGTCATCGACACCATCATAATCATCAATGGCATCATCACCATGGCCATCGTCAACATCATCATCATTACCATCGGCATCAGCATCGTCAACATCGCCGTCGTCATCGCGATCGTCATTGTCATCGTCATCATTATCGTCGTCGTCGTCATCACCATTATCATCACCATCATGATCATCCTCATCCTCGTCATGACCAATATCATCGGCATCATGATCAGCATCATCCTCATCAGTATCGTCATCGTCATCCTTGTCGTCATCGTCATCGCCATCGCCATCGCCATCATCACCATGACCATCCTCATCATCATCGTCATCCTAATGTCCATCATCGGCAGCACCATCATCATCATCACCATCATCATCATCATTACGATCCTCATCATCCCTATCAGCATCACCACTGTCTACAGAATCATCGTCATCGCCTTCGTCATCGTCATCACCCATAACAGCAATATTATCATTACCATCGCCATCGTCATCATCATCGTCATCGCCAATATCAGCCTTATCATCAGCATCATCATCATTACCGTCACCATCAGCACCATCATCATCATCATCATCAGCATCATCATCATCATCTTGAGCACCCTCATCAACATCATCATGTTCATCGGCGTCATCGTCGTTGTCGTCGGCATCACCGCATTTGTCAACGCCATCGTCATCATCGGCATCAACATCGTCGTCACCATCATCATCTTCATCATCAGTGTCGGCATCATCATCACCATCAGCATCACCATCGTCGTCGTCAGCGTCACCATCACCATCACCATCGTCATCTTCGTCGTCATCACCATGGTCATCGGTCGCGTAATCATCATCACTATCGTCACTGTCATCGTCGTCGTCACCATGCACATCATTATCATCATCACTGTCATCGTCAACGTTACCACCATCATCGTCATCGCCATCGTCACCGTCACAAGCATACGTGCTATCAGCATCGTCATCGCCGTCGACATCATCGTAATCGTCATCGTCAGCAGCACCGTCACCAACATCATCGTCAAAATACTCACCGCCATCACAACCAACATCATCATGATCAGCACAGTCATCATCATCCTCGACGTCGTCGTCATCGCCATCGTCATTGCTATCGTCATCATCATCGTCATCGTCGTCATCAGCATCAACATTATCATTACAATCGTCATCGTCACGGTCATCATCACCATCATCATTATCATCATCATCGTCAGCATCGTTATCATCGGCATCGTTGCCATCCCCAACATCAGAATTGTCATCGTTGCAATCAGCATCATCGTCATCGTCATCAGCATCACTATCAGCATCATCGTCATGATCGTCATCGTCGCCATCGCCTGTATCACCATCCTCCTAATCGTCAACAGCATCGTCATCGTCATCGCCATCATCACCATCATCACAATCATCATCATCACCATCATCGTCATCGTCATCGTTATCATACTCGGCGTCGTCGTCATAATCGTTGTCGTCGTCGTCATCGCCATCGCGTCATCAGCATCTTCATCAGCATCATCATCGTTATCGTCGTCAGCATCGTCAACATCATCATCGTACTCGTCATCGTCGTCATCATCATCATCTCCATCGTCATCACCATCGTCAGCATCATCACTGTCATCATCGTCGGAACCCATATCGTCATTATGGTCATTTTTACCGTCACCACAATCATCACCATAAACATCATCATCATGATCATCATCATAATCGTCATGATCATCTTCGTCATCGTCATCACCACCATCGTCGTCATCATAATCATCATCACCGTCATCGTGAATATCATAATCAGCATCTGCGTCATCGCCATTGTACTCATCATCTCTACCATCACCATCATCAGCATCATAGTCATCGCCATTAACATCGCCATCATCATCATCATCATCATCATCATCATCATCATCATCATTATCATCATCAAAATCATTATTATCGTCGTCGTCATCATGTCGTCATCCTCGTCATCGTCATCCTCACGTTGTTTGGTGGGTAGTATCTCCTCTCCTCCCCGATCCCTCCCCTCAGGGGGGGGGAAGGAAAGTGTTGGTGGCGGGGCACGAGACCGAGGCGGCCGCGGCGCCTTTCTTGCGAGGGCGTCGCCCTTCTCGGCCTCCTCCGCCGCCGCCAGGTCGGCGGCTGAGTCTTGCTCATCCTCGCCACATGGGGCGGGGACGGGGGGAAGAGGCAGAAGAGGAGGAGGAGGAGGAGGAGGGGAAAACGGAACTGAAACAGGGGAAGACGGAACAGAAACAGAAGGTGAAGAAGGATAAGGAAAAGGAGGAGGAGGAGGAGAAGAAGGAAACTGAGGAGGCGGGTGATAACAAATAGGAGGAAGAGGAAAAGGATGAGAGCGACGTTGACGATGGTGGAGGAAAGGACGCGACCACAAGCTGGTTAGAGGCGTGCCTGGCTCGAGGCTTCACATGACCTCCTGCCCGAAATCTGCTGATGGGGGGGTTCAGGGACAACAGTGATCCTCGCGCTGTCCCTGGCCTTTGCTGGTCCGATTGGTGCTGTGCACGGGGCTGCAGCACACACTCGGAGCGATCGTGAAACGAAGAGAAGAACTCAGTGGCGGGCTCTCGTCAGCCCAGCTGCAGACTTACGCCGAGGAGCAAGCAACGAGCGACCCACCTGTGTGCCTTGGCCATGCGTGGCGGCACGCTCGCACGGCCAGCCACGAGGAGCGACCTCCGGAGCAGTGGTGCGCCTTGCGCTCCTGCTCGAGCGCGGCCCTCGTGGAGCTTCGGGCCCGGAGATGCTGGTGCCTGGAGGGGTCTGTCGGCACGCCTGGTGCCGCGAGGAGCGTGGTCGGATTGCCACGCGCCCCGTCATCGCGCTCGTCCTGCGTTGCTCGCATCGCCCAGTTCGCGCCCTGCGCGTGGTCTCTCCTGGGGTGCGGCCCGCGACCCTGGCCCCCGGCTCAGAGCACACGTTCGCCGCTGCGTCCTCGGCGGACGACCTGCGCTCCAGCGTGGCGCCAGTCGGCTCATGCAGACACACAACTTCTGTTGGAAAAACACACTGTGGGGAAAAAACAACACACACACAAAAAAACACACTGTGGGAAAAAAACAAGCAGTCTGCGGGAAAAACACACACTGTGGGAAAAACACACACAGTGTGTCTTTTCCCACAGTGTGTTTTTTCCACGTGTGTTTTTCCCACAATGTGTGTGTGTGTTTGTCCCACAGACTGTGTTGTTTTTTCCCACAACTTCCTGCAGCACGTTTGGTCACGGCCACGGCGAGCTTGCCGTCCGGCAGGGCTACACGACCGCACGGCGGCGCCTCAGAGGCCACAGGGGGCCCCTGGGCCGCAGGCGCGCGACCGTAGGCACCACGTGCGCGAGGTAAGGGCGTCTCCCGAACCTCGGTGTTGTACAGTGTCTCCACCCTTGTCATCGTGCTGTCACAAGGAGCACTGAACAAGGAACGGAGGGAGTCTTCTGGCCACGGTCTTCTGTCCTCGGCCAAGACGAGATTCCTGTGCATGCGTCTAAGAAGAGCAAGCCGTAGCGGAAACGCCGACGCACGGGGGCAACCGCAAATGGACAGCAACCAGCGTACCAACGTACCGCGAGCCCCTCGTAAAGTAAAACCCTGCCCGCGTAGCTGTGACGCTGTGTTCTGGATGCGCTGACGGCCCACTTTGCCCACCTGCGGTACCATGGTCAGCGGGACAGGCGGAGGAAACCATCCCGATCGCATAACGAGAGCTTTGTACCCCCCTATCCACTGCAATCGCCAAGCCAGGATGATGGAAGGGAATTCGTCAACGTGAAGCTATTTCTGATGTGAAGAATCCCTCTCGCTTCGGAGGGGGGGCTGTAAGGGTGGAGACGGGCGGGGGGACCTGGCGAGCACATAGCATTGCGGGAGAATGGTGGGACAAAAAGACGGGAGGAGCACGATGAGTAGGACGAAGTAGAAGAGGCGCACTTGTCTGTCGGCTGGGCTGCATGGCGTTATGCGTCTGGCTGCATCGCTCCAGCCGCGTGGGTGTGACAACTTGGTGTGGGGGGGGGAGGGAGGATCGAGGAGGGAGGACAGGGGGCGGGAGGTGGGGGGAGGGAAAAGGGGGGGGGGACAAAGGGAAGGATGGTGAGGAGGGTGAGCAGGAAGGGAAAGCAACATCTACATACATCTATATACATATATATATATATCCATATGAATATATATATATATATGTTTAGAAATACCTATACCAATACGACACCCCTTCAGGTGATAAGAAGGTTGGGAAATGGGGGAAAGAGCACGCTGCTGGCAAATACGATGGGTGTGATGAAGACGATGCTGGTGACGAGCCCTCAAGTTAGCGATGACGCGTGATAGCGATGTTGCGCCGCGAGGTCATGCCGCTATCGTTATCCCTATCGATTTCGCAGTCGATAGCACTATCGAAGCCACTACCGATCTCACGATCGATTCCTCTATCGATCTCGATACCGATCTCGTTATCGATTTAATTACCAATGTCACAATCAACCTCACAATCCAACTCACGCTTGACCTCGTTAACCATCTCAGTCTAGCGAACCCAAGATCGATTCCACAATCGACTTCACTATCGATACCAAGGCGGGACACCCCCGGCCACCGCCCGCCCACCGCCGACTGAACACCGACGGGACACCAACAGGACACCACAGGACACCACCGCGGGACACCCTGGGCCACCGCGCGCCCACCGAGGGCGGAGGGGCGGTCCACTGCATCCGAACCGCCCTAGCGATGGTGGGGGCATTCCTCTCGCGCGCCCACGCAACTTCGCCTCGCACGAACGCGCGACACAAACACGAAGCCGAAACCAATTTCCCGGTGGGGGGCTCTCCGCTCCACTGGAATCTGACCCCCAGTCTCCGATATATTTATACTAGAACCACGCGCGCGCTTCGCGCGCGCTTAGGTTCTGTCGAGTCACGGACCCACGAATCGTTGTGAGAAGAAATTGGTGACGCGAAGCGTCGTGGGGGCGTCCTTGGACGTCTGGGGTCTCCTGGGGCCTCTTGAGGGGCCTCCTGGGGGCCTCCTGGCGGCCTCTTGGGGCGGAAGGCTCGAGCTTGCGGTTCGTGGTCCCCCTCTGGGCCCCCTCTTGGGCCCGTCTTGGGGCCCTCTTGGGCCATCTTGGGCGCCTCTTGGGCCGTCTTGGGGCCCTCTTGGGCTGTCCTGGGGCCCTCTTGGAAGCTTCTTGGGCCGTCTTGGGGCGGTCTTGGGCGCCTCTTGGGCCGTCCTGTAACGTCGGAAAGCCCAAAAGACAACTTTGTTGAAAATGTACGTTTTACGAAGGGAATGGGCCAATTTTGCGTCTAGGGGCCCTCTTGGGACGCATGTTGGAGGCTTCTTGGGGCCTCTTGGGGGCGTCCTTGGACGTCTGGGGTCTCCTGGGGCCTCTTGAGGGGCCTCCTGGGGGCCTCCTGGCGGCCTCTTGGGGCGGAAGGCTCGAGCTTGCGGTTCGTGGTCCCCCTCTGGGCCCCCTCTTGGGCCCGTCTTGGGGCCCTCTTGGGCCATCTTGGGCGCCTCTTGGGCCGTCTTGGGGCCCTCTTGGGCTGTCCTGGGGCCCTCTTGGAAGCTTCTTGGGCCGTCTTGGGGCGGTCTTGGGCGCCTCTTGGGCCGTCCTGTAACGTCGGAAAGCCCAAAAGACAACTTTGTTGAAAATGTACGTTTTACGAAGGGAATGGGCCAATTTTTGCGTCTAGGGGCCCTCTTGGGACGCATGTTGGAGGCTTCTTGGGGCCTCTTGGGGGCGTCCTTGGACGTCTGGAGGCCATCTTCAGCATCTCGGAGCCCTCTTGGAGGCCTCTCTTGGGCGCTCCTGGGGCCGTCTTGTCCGACCGGGGAGGCCTCCGGCAAGCCCCGACGAGCCTCCGGGCCCCCCGGAGCCCACATTTGTGGTCGAGGTCCCGGCCCCGGGCCCCCGGACCCGGTGCGCCGTTATATGTATATCGGATTGAGGGGGCCGAACGCTCATTCATCGTCCCTGGGCGCGTGGCTAAAATGAGAACCCATGGTGGGGACGCTAATGTTGCGTTGTTGCTGTTGCTGTTGTTGTTGGTTGTCGTCGTCCAACCCACGACCCACCCGCGACCCACCCCGCGACCCACCCGCGACCCACCCGCGACCCACCCCGCGACCCGCCCGCGACCCGCCCGCGACCCACCCGCGACTCACCCACGACCCACCCGCGACCCACCCGCGACCCGCCGGCCCGCGACCCACCCGCGACCCACCTGCGACCTTACCCGTTACCGACCCTCACTGTTTTAACAAAAATCGGCGCCTGAGGCGGGCTCGTTTTATGGCTTGAAAACTTTTGCGCCTGCGGCGGGTTCCTTCAGAACCTCGCAGACTGCCGATGTCCCTGGGTGTGTCGCTAAAGTGAGAACCTGTGGTGAGAATTATGTATGTTGCGTTGTTGTTGTTGCTGCTGTTGCTGTTGTTGTTGCTGTTGTTGTTGTTGTTGTTGGTGTTGTTATTGTTATTCTTATTATTGTTGGTGTTGTTGTTGCTGCTGTTGTTGAATCTTATTACTTCTAAATAATTATTGTTGGGCCCCCTGGTGCACGCCCCCCTCGCCGCGCCTAGGCCGCAGCCACATTTTCATCATTTTCGTGAGGAAGTCTCAGGCAAAACGGGGGAGTCCGGATCCGGTTGTTTTGTTGACGCCCGCTTTCCCTGTCAAAAAACAATATAAAATGACATGTCTTGTTCTAACATAACCAAACTTCAAGAATCCTTTGCAACAAATGACACGAAGTGCACACTCGCGCGCGCAAGATGAAATCCTTCCAAAACCTTAGTTTTCGTAGCGATTTTAACATAAAAACATGAAAAACCCAATGGTTTTTTCAAAAAAAAGTTTCAAAAATTCATCCCGCGCGCTCTTGCGGATTTCTTAGGAAACCCAATATTTTTTCAACATTTCTGTCAAACGGGCTCTTGCGAGCAACTTTTTCACGTGCTTCGAACTTCTGCAACAACGGTTGCGCGCATGCCAGGGCCATCATCCCTGTCAAATAATACCATATGGGACACATTCGTTTTTTCTTCGCGCGCGCACGCCGAAATCTTCAAACACCATTGGGTTTCTTAAGAATTTCAGCACCGCGTATCATACAATCGCACGAATCGCACCGTAGGTCCTCGA